CATCTTTTGGGTGCTTGGCGTTTGCTTGTATTTTACGATTCAAAGTTGGTGATCAATCAGCTAAAGGGAGAGTACGCGGCCAAAAATGATTGTATGACGGCTTACATAAAAACGGCTCACTCCTTGCTGGCAAAATTTGACCATCATGAATTGAATCAAATAACACGAGATCAGAACACACATGTAGATGCCCTGGCTTGCCTAGCCTTCGCCATTAACTTAGAGATTAAACGGACTATCGAAGTAGGTTTCATCCCGGAGCCGAGCATTGGCCCTTCGGAGGAAATCCAGGTCAATGTCATAGAGTCAGGACCGAGTTGGATGGACCCCATTACTGCATTCCTGTCTTCTAAATAGCTCCCAGCAGACAGGAAAGAAGCGCACAAGCTGCGAAACAAAACCCTGCGATATTACTTGGATCCGCAAGGAAAGCTTTATAAGAAATCCCTTTCTGGTCCAGACCTGGAATGCATGCATCCGGACAAAGTCAAAGAACTTCTGACTGAAATACATGAAGGCAATTGTGGCGCACACTCTGGCGGGCGCTCTTTGGCTCATCGAGCTGTAACACAAGGGTACTATTGGCCGGCAATGAGAGCAGATGCCGAATATTATGTGAAAAAATGTGAACAATGCCAGAAGTTCTCCCCTTTAACCCATCTGCCTATTGAAGAGTTAAGCTCTATCACCAGTCCCTGGCCGTTCGCCCAGTGGGGACTTGATATTGTCGGACCACTGCCAAGGGCCCCGGGGAACAAGCGATACTTGATTGTCGTGACAGATTACTTCATAAAATGGGTCGAAGCGGAGGCATAAACTCACATTCGAGATGCTGATGTTAAGCGCTTTGTCTGGAGAAATATCATAACACGATTTGGCATTTCAAGAGCACTTATCTCAGATAACGGCACCTAGTTTGATTGTGGCGTCTACCGAGAGCTGTGCAGCAAGTATGGTATCCGGCCTTACTTTTCCACGCCGGCTTACCCACAAAGAAATGGTCAAGCTGAAGCCTCTAACAAATCCATCTTGGATGGCATCAAAAAGAGGCTGGAGAAAGCTAAAGGCAAATGGGTCAAAGAATTGCCGAGTGTGTTGTGGGCTCATCGAATTACGCCGAGACGATCCACTGGGGAAACACTGTTTGCTTTATATTTTGGAACCCAGGCAATCATACCCCTAGAGATCGGCCTCCCAACCTTGAAATCGAAAGTTTTGGATATGGGCCAAAACGATATGATTCTTGCCTTGGATTTGATTCTGATTGAAGAACGAAGAGATCGTGCCCTTACATCCATGGCACGGTATCAGCCGCAGCTTGCTAAGTCATTTCAACGTGTTCATCTGTGCCGCTACACGCCAGGAGAGTTGGTCCTGAAGAAAGTACTTCTAGCTGCCAAGAAACTGGCTGATGAAAAATTGGGTCCTAACTGGGACGGCCCCTATCAGGTCGATTCGATTACAGGAGTAGGGACATATCTGCTCAAAGACATGTCTGGAAGGAATCTGCCACGGTCTTGGAATTCAACGCATTTGCGTAAATTCTATCATTAAACCTGACCTGTGGGGAATGATACTAGTTTTGAATGGTTCACCATGTACACATGCCACTTTTGTAATGCAAAGATTCCTGTTTACTTGCTGCGAAATCCAGTTCAAAAGTGTTTCGATAAAAGCCTCTGGATTCGGAGCGCCCTTCGTGGATATCACGATTGACCAAGATTTAAGTCTTCGGATTCGGAGCCCTATCAGTGCATGACACTTTTGGGCCGATTAAGACTCCAGATGCGGAGCCCCATTCGTGCAGGTCACGTTTGGGCCAATTAAGCCTCCGAATTCGGAGCGCCCTTCGTGGATATCACGATTGGCGGAGATTTAAGTCTCCGGATTCAGAGCCCCATCATTGCATGACACTTTTGGGCCGATTAAGACTCCAGATTCGGAGCCCCATCAGTGCATGACACTTTTGGGCCGATTAAGACTCCGGATTCAGAGCGCCCTTCGTGGATATCACGATTGGCCAAGATTTAAGTCTCCAGATTCGGAGCCCCATCAGCGCATGACACTTTTGAGCAGATTAAGACTCCGGATCCGGAGCCCCATCAGTGCATGACACTTTTGGGCCGATTAAGACTCCGGATTTAGAGCGCCCTTCGTGGATATCACGATTGGCCAAGATTTAAGTCTCTGGATTTCGAGCCCCATCCGTGCATGACACTTTTGGGCCGATTAAGACTCTGGATGCGGAGTCCCATCAGTGCATGACACTTTTGGGCCGATTAAGCCTCCGAATTCGGAGCACCCTTCGTGGAAATCACGATTGGCCAAGACGAAAAGCCTTCGAATTCGGAGCCCCATCCGTGCAAGTCATGTTTGGGCCGATTAAACCTTTGGATTCGGAGCGCCCTTTGTGGATATCACGATTGGAGAAGATTTAAGTCTTCGGATTCGGAGCCCCATCAGTGCATGACACCTTTGGGCTGATTAAGGCTCCGGATTCGAAGCGTCCTTCGTGGATATCGCGACTGGCCAAGTCTCTGAATTAGGAGCTCCATCCGTGCAAGTCGCGCCTGGGCCGAATGAGACTCCGGATTCCGAGCGCCATATCCATTTGTTTGGCTCGAATTCGCGGCAACTTGCGGAATTGACGTTTCGGCCGACTAAGTCCTCCGAATTTGGAGCGATTCGTGCAAACCATTGAAGTCATGGTCATGGTCGTTTTATGAACAAATTGATCTAAAATAAAAAGATCATATAATCATAGTTAAATCCACTCATGAATTAGTTGGCACAACAGCAAAACATTCCGAAAAATATATGTTCTTATTAGACTAATTTCGAATACATTACATTGGCCTCGAATACATTATTAATTAAACAATAATTTGATAAATAAATACAAAATGTATTTATTTTTACATAAGGTTTTATTCAGCGCCACCTTTATCGTCGCTCTTCTCTATCTCGTATGCCTCGAAGGGAAGATTACAGCGATAATATAACGGTGAAGCCGACTGAACACCTGCTGCACGGAGGGCTTCTGCGGCCTTAAGCGCCTCGATCCACCCATGCCAAAATCCTTGATTCTCGCATCGGCAGACCTCTTCGGCGAGTTTTTCCCTTGTCTTTTCTATTCCGGTCTTCTGGCCTTCGTGGAAGCCTTTTTCGTAAGCCCTTGTCTTGGCGAACTCAATCGCAAACATGCTAGTCGTATCTCGATCGGCGATCGCATGACTTATTAGCCGTTGGGTCACCCTTTCTTCCACGATCGGGTTAGACTTCCCGGCCGACTGTTCCCCACCATTCTTGACCTTTCTCAGCTCCTGCTCGGCTTTCTCCGCGCGAGCTTCTATGCTTTGAATACGTTCGTCCTTCTGCTCTATCTCTCGCCGAGCAGCACGAAGGCGCGTACTGATTTCATAGGCAGTGTATAGCCCCTTCACCGCCCCATGGATGCCCTCTCGGAACACTTCGAAGTCTCGTCGACCAACCATCGACTGTTGAACTTCTGGCGAAAAAATTTGTCGTGCAAATTCGATCGCCACGTTTGGATCTCGGATGATTGAATCCGCCCCCGTCATCGATTTGTTATCGACAAAAATTGCAAAGCTCAATGGGCATGGTGGCCCACTGGCTTCACTGTGCGGACATGGGGAACTTCCCCGTTGGCGTTTCTCCCTTCTGGGTGACCTGCTTTGTCAATGTGGAGAGTGATGCCTCTCATGCTCAGCAGATGCCCTAACTCCCATTCGAGGAGGTTCTCAACCTCGATTCATTGAGTCCAGCTCTGCCAGTGTCCTGCCTTCCCCTTTATTGTTGAAGAATAGTCTGCTAGACATTCACTCTTCTCTGCCTATGTTCGACATACAGGGTTAAGTTTTGTTTGGACATAACCCCCTCTCTAAATAATTCATGGGCGCACCGTATTCCCGAAGCGACCTCATTAATGCACGCACTCCATAAGGCGCTGGTATTCGGCTTTCTAGATTTACCCCAAACCGGGGCAATTCCTTAACCTTAATAGCTAGGGAGGCAAGGGAAGATTCCTTAATCCTAACGGCCAACGGTTCTCTACTCGAATTGGCTAAATCCCTTGGCCTTGAGCCGAAAGGATCGTGCCTCAGCCATTTCACGAATTGGACTCATTCGGCCGTCTAGTTCATATTTGAGGCAAGGGTAGATTCCTTAATCCTAATGGCCAATGGTTCTCTTTTATATCTGGGGAGGCAAGGGCAGATTCCTTAATCCTAACAGTCAATGGTTCTCTACTCGAATCGGCTAAATCCCATGGCCTTGAGCCGAAAGGATCGTGCCTCAACCATTTCACGAACCGGACTCATTCGACGGTCTAGTTCATATTTGAGGCAAGGGCAGATTCCTTAATCCTAACGGCCAATGGTTCTCTACTCGAATTGGCTAAATCCCTTGGCCTTGAGCCGAAAGGATCATGCCTCAACCATTTCACGAAGCCGAAAGGATCTCAAGCCTTTACCATTCACATATAATGCAAGGCCTGGCACCGATTGGTTCACATGCAAGGGCATGCTCTCAAACCTATTCGATTAAATCCAAAGTCTGAATCATGAATATTTTCCGCTACCCTTTTCATTCCCAATTCTTGAATTATCCATCTTTTTAATGGAACGATTGTCTAAAAAAAAAAAAAACAAAAAACAAAAAAAAAAACAAAAACAAAAACAAAAAGTAAAATAAACTGAATACAGATAAGGTAATTCATTGATAAACTGAATACAGACATAATGAAATAAAGACATAATGCAAAGCAAGGGAAAATTTCATTGATAAACTGAATACAGATAAGGTATCACTTTATACATGAAGATCACCGTGAGTAAAAATAAAGTAAAATAAAAGAAAATACATTCAAAATCCTTGGCAAAAACAACCAGAGTGTTGCCCTAATCAATCCTCGGGGTCGTCGGGGTCAGGCTCCAGCGGCTCAATGTCCACTTGCTCGTATGGAATCGACATAGCCAATTTCATATTTGCAGCAGCAAGGGCTTTGAGCCAGCCGTGCTTGAATCCCCAGTTCTCAAATTTGGGAACTTCCACCGCGTAATTTGCAAGGGCGGCGCCTTGCCCAGCCTCGTACGCCTTGGAAGTCTTGGAGTCGGCTTTTCTTTTGCATTCTTCGATTCTTCCAATTCGGTCTCTAGCCTAGCAATCACCTCTTGGGCTGACTTGAGTGCTTCATCGCTCGCGTTTGCCCTTTGCTCGGTGACCAATCTTTGCTGTTCAACATTTCTCGCTCTTTCTATCTCGGCATCTGCCCTTGCACTTTCCATCGTCGCCCTCGCCACCTCGAACTCGGCCCTACTCCTTTCGCCCTTAACCTCCAATCTTAAATGGCCAATTTGTTCGATGGCGTCGTGCTGGCGCTGGCCTATCTCAGTTATCCTTCCGACTGTCTACAAAATAGAAAATTAAAACCAAACCAATATACGCAGAAACGCAAAAGGCAAGATCAAGCTATATACCAGAAGCGCTGTCTAAGCGGCTAATGCTATTGCCAACACATTCGGCTCCGCCTAGAAAGCCGCCTTGTTAGCCGGCAACGAGACTGACGAAGCCAGGCTCAACGCCACGGTTGGGTCTTTCACAGCTGATGCGTCGGAGGAGATCGGCATGTTTTTTTATCTTTGGTTGAACCACAAAAGGGACAACCACATCCGACTCCTCCAAGCGCGGTCGTTTTTCGACTGGGTTTTCTTCAAAGATGGCCTCAAAATCGGCAGGACACTTCTCCCTCCCCTTATTGGCCTCTGGAGTCAACCGTTTGACTGACCGTTCCGTCTCGGCGGAAAGAGTTTGAGCCGTTTCAACCACGACAATCGGCTCGGAGGATTTAGGGAGGGCAGGTTTGGAACTAATGGTCTCGGCCTTCTGATGGGCGGCCAAGCGCTCGACGTTTTTTTTCGTGCCAATTGGGAAAGGGATTCCTTCGCCATATTATCGGGATAGGAGCCGGGAAGATCTTCCAAACCAGTAAAAATATCTCTGAAAGAAAATTCCCCCTACCCGAAATGGACGGAGAGTTAGACTGGTTAAGGCCGGCTGCCTCGAACGCTGAGTTTAGAGCCTCGTCGACCTTTTCGGCTTCCACGGCAAACTCTTTCGTTGGTTCGGCAATCACCTCGACCGCTGGCTCTATGTCTTGCTCCAAATCAGAAGCTTCAAAACCAATTTGCCTAAGGTTTTTGAAGCGAGGGAAGACAAGAGCCGTAAAACGTTGTTCATCAGATGGGATCAGAATGTTTTCCGCGGCCGAGAACGTAATGTAAGTTGTCTCGTACCTCAAGAGTATATGGGCGGCTCTCCCTTGCTTCTGTATGTTTGGAAGGCCAAAAAACTTGAGTGCAGTCCTAATTTCTAAAAGGACTGCGTCGTCGACTGAGATCAGAATTTTCTTCAAGTTGTTGCCTGCACAAACAAAGGATTAGACTTGGAGAGAAAGCCGAGTAAAAGAAGGATCAATAAATGCAAGGAGCTACACGGCAACCTGGTTCACCCCTCTAACTGGGTATAGGGTCTAGGCGATCTTCACCTTCGCCGAATTCCCAATTGTCTCGGACATGGACCATCATATCATCAACTCGTTTGCCAGAGCTGGCAAGCATGGTTACTAAGTGATGGTCGGTGTCCTTGGCCTTGAGAAAGTAGCGCCCATGCCGACCGGAGGATTTGGCTAAAGCATAGCAGTGCCGAATGGCAGGAATACCAAGGTTGATTCTAAGGCGCCGGTTCAACTCTACGATCCCCATTATGATTCCAAAAAAATTTACATTGGGTTGGGAAGGAATCAGACCCCAATGGCGGAGGACGGCCCTAAGAAATGGGTGTAGGGGAAAACAGACTCCGCCTTCCGCAATGGATAGGAGAGGAAAGGCGATTGTATTTTCATCATCCCTCTCTATATCAAGAGTGTTGTCCGTCACGAGAGACAAATGGACATCATCGAGGATAGAAAAATGACGTCGGAACCTAGAAATACGACCCTTAGAAAGGAGGTCTTTCAAATGCTTAGCTATTCTAGCAAGGATTCAAGGGCACGCTAAATCGAAAATAAACACGGTAAATAGGATTACAAAAAGAAGAGAAGAAAACTTATGAGAGGCAAAGGAGACAAAGAGAGACGAGAAGAAGTTGTAAAAGATGCAAGTCAAAGGAAGAATATCGGCTGGCAGTCCAGGAGGCTCAAATATTCAAAAAGCATGCATTTGAAGAGACCGGAGTTTCAAATCGCAATAAATGCAAGAAATGCACAAATGAGGCGGGAGCGTATAATGATGACCGAAAGGCGTGTGCGTTCTGACATTCACATTGGGATAGGCGAAGCCGCCTAACTTATGTTTCTTTTGACTTTTCGAATTTGAAACCAAACATGCCAATTAACTGCTGTTAATAGGGAGTTTGGGGGGCAATTGTGGGAGCCGAATAACTAGCGGAATCAAATAAGCGGTGTATACCTGGAGGCCTAGGAGACAGACATTATTCGGCCCTATCCTGCATGATCAGGAGGCCGAATACAATAAATAGGCCGAATAGCTATTGGATTATGGAGCCGAATAAATAAGAGGATAATGGGCGAAAAGTGGGCTAGGCCCTGAGGCCTAGGAAGCGATTATAAATAGAGGAACAATAGTCGAAGAAAGGTATGTGATAACTAGTATGCTTAACTTAAGATACAAGAAATTAAGAGAGTATACACTGACTTATCCGTCGGAGTGCTAATTCCGGCACCCCCGACCGGAGTGTTCATTCCTTTTCAGGTGACTAGCTAAGGATCACGAGCGTCCCCCAGGATCTGAAGAGTATTTCCAAACCACATCCCCACAATCTATGATTGTGTATTTGTTTGGGTTGCTTAAAATTGATACACTGAGATCTTTAACTAAGGTATTTAGTAAGAATAATTATCATGTTGAATCTTAATTAAAATAATTTATAAACAATAAATATTGAATACCCACAAAATTATTATTCTTAATAATGTCTTTGTTAGTGATTGAATTGAGTTAATTTAAAACTAACTTTTATACTAATATATATTTTGGATAGACTCTGGATAAAATTAATTAATTACTTAATTAATTAATTAATTACTTAATTAATTAATTAATTTTCTTTTAAGAATAATTAAATGTGGGTTTTCACAATCTACCCTCCTAAAAAAAATTTCGTTATCGAAATTAATTCGTACCTTTAGACTCGAAAAGCTGAGGGTGATTGGCACGTTTCATATCTTCCCGTTCCCACGTTGACTCTTCTGTCCCATGATGCTGCTACAACATTCGCACCAAGTGAATGGCTTTGCCTCACAGGTTCTTTTCTCATCCATTCATAATCTTTATAGGTCTTTCCTCAAAGCGTACATCTTTATTGGGATCAATCTCTCTCCAGTTGATAACATGAGAGGGGTGTGATTCATTTCATAACATTGAGATGTGAAAAACATTGTGCACTACTGCGAGCTGTGGCGGTAGTGCTAAACGGTATGCCACTTCTCCTACTTTGCTCATAATTTCAAGGGGTCCCACATATCGAGGTGCAAGTTTTCCTTTCTTTTCAAATCGTGTAGCTCCTTGACAAGGTCGAACTTTGAGAAAAACATGATCCCCTACCTCAAATGTTAGGGGTCGTCTTCTTTGATCTGCATAGCTTTTTTGTCGACTTTGGGCCGTGATTAATTGTTGTCTGATTAGTCTTATCTTCTCAGTGGTCTCTTGAACCAAGTCTGGTCCTAACAAGGTTGCTTCTCCTACTTCAGCCCAACAGACTGGTGATCGACAAGGTTGTCTATAAAGTGCTTCATATGGTGCCATTTCAATACTGGCTTGGAAACTATTGTTGTAAGCAAACTCAACGAGAGGTAAGTGTTTCTCCCAACTTCCATTAGAATCCACAACAAAAGCTCGAAGCATATCCTCCAAGGTTTGTATCGTCCTTTCAAACTGCCCATCGGTTTGTGGGTGAAATGTCATGCTAAAGCATAGGTTCGTTTCCATTGCCTTCTGCAAGCTCTGCCAAAATTGAGAAGTGAATAGAGGATCACAATTAGACACGATGCTAACTGGTACTCTATGTAATCTGATCACTTCTTTGATGAACAATCTACTAAGTGAATCCAATGTATCTGATGACCCAACAAATAAGAATCGGGCTGTCTTAGTTAGTCGATCTACCACTACCCATATGCCGTCATGTCCCTGTGGTGATCGAGCCAAACCCGTCACGAAATCCATGGTTATGTATTCCCATTTCCACTCCGGGAGTAGTAAGGGTTGAAGTGTTCCTGCCTGTCTTTGATGTTCAGCCTTTATTTGCTGACATGTCAAGCACTGAGACACAAACTTCGCTACATCCTTTTTCATTCTGCCCCACCAATATTGGTGTTTTAAGTCTTGGTACATCTTAGTACATTCCAGATGTATTACGAATACTGAATGGTGGAATTCCTTGAGTGCCTTTTCCCTTAGTGAGTTATCGCTTGGCACGAACATTTGACCTTGATATTTCAAACTCCCATCAGTGTGAATTTCCCAACCAGGTATGGTTTCACTAGATTCCATTTGTGCCTTGATGAATGCTACCTCCTGATCGTACTTTTGTGATTCCAATATCTCGCTCAAAATTTTAGGAGTAACATTCTGAGCACCAAGGTAAGCCTTTTCTTCTTGAACCCCCATTTGCACCTCAAATTCATTGAGCGTTCCAACCATATTCCATTCTCTAAGTGCTAAACTAGCAACAATCCCTCTATTCTTGCGACTCAGTGCATTTGCTACCACGTTAGCCTTGCCGGGATGATAGGAAACGGTAAATTGGTAATCCTCGAGATACTCCAACCAGTGTCTCTAATGCATGTTCAGATACTTTTGGGTGAACAGATACTTCAAGCTTTTGTGATCAGGGAATATCTCAAACTTTTCACCATACAAGTAGTGTCTCCAAATTTTGAGTGCATGAACTATAGCTGCTAACTCCAAGTCATGGGTGGGAGAATTCTTCTCATGGTTCTTTAAATGCCTTGATCCATATGCCACAACCTTGCCATTTTGCATCAATACGCACCCGGAGACCTTCTTTGGAAGCATCACAATACACGTTGTACCCAACGTCACGTTCTGGCACTATGAGAATAGGGGCACTCGTCAATCTTTTCTTGAGTTCTTGGAATGAATTTTCACAAGACTCGTTCCATTCAAACTTTACCCTCTTTTGAGTCAAATGTGTCATTGGTTTAGCCAATTTTAAGAAGTCTTGAATGAATCTTTGATAGTAACCAGCCAATCCTAAGAAACTACGAATCTCAAATGTGTTCTTAGGTTGCTTCCATTCTGTCACTGCTTCTACGTTAGTTGGGTCTATTGATATTCCCTTTTTAGATACCACGTGACCCAAAAACTTTACTTCCCCCTTCCAGAACTCACATTTACTAGCCTTAGCATACAGTTGGTTTTCTCTCAAAGTTTGAAGTACTATTCTCAAATGTTGTTCATGGTCTCCTTCAGACTTGAAATACAACAAAATATCATCTATGAAAACTACCACAAATTGATCTAAGGTAGGTGTGAATATTTTGTTCATTAAGCTCATGAACACGCCTGGTGCATTGGTTAGGCCGAATGGCATCACTATGAATTCATAGTGGCCGTAATGGGTTCGAAATGCAGTCTTAAGAATATCTTCCTCTCGAACATGCAAAAAAAGAAAGGAAAAACTCAAAATGCATGGATGCGGGGATACGAGGTTTTGAACCCTTGACCTCAGGTTTAGTCTCTTGCTCCCTCAACCACTGAGCCACACCACTCTTGTAACAAAATATTCAAACAAATATATATATATATAGGTATACGAGACACATATACAAAAAAACCAAAACAAAACAAAAAAAACACTCGTTGCTATGGGGGCTCAAACCTCTGACCTCATGCTTAACCTTTCAATCCTCAACCATTGAGCCGAACCACTGAACCCAAGCCACTCTTGTGACCAAATATGAAAACAAATATATATAATACATAGATATACAATACATATACATATATGCATACAACTCTCCTGCCTCTTTCTCTTCCTTCGAAAACCGTATTTGACATGAGGCTTTGCTTTTGCGTTGGCTGGCCGACAAAAGCAGACCTCCTCGATTACCGATTGCCTTGGCTCTCTGTCCTTCTTTGTCTTCTTCTCTTCCGTCTTCTTTTTAATCACTCACTTCTCGTTCTTCTTCCTCATTCTTTTCTGTCTCCTTCTTCTTCATCACTCCATTCTATCTTTTTTTTCTCTTCCGTCTTCTTTTTCCTTGAGAGACAGAACATAGAGACTGAGTGGATGAGAAAGGCTGCAAAACTCATTCTATTCTCTGCTATTTCTCTACGACGTCTTTCTTTTACACCTCTCACCTCTAACACATGGCCTCGTCTCGTCCTTTCACTCTCTTTCCGGACCTAAATGATCCCATAAGCTCTCCTAGACTGAGTGCCCCTGCTCCTACGTTTACTTCTCTTAACTTTCCTATGCTATCAATCGAGCAAATAATGGTACCTCAATCTGACATTGAGGTCAACCATTATACGCTGAAGTCCTGCATGGAGACAATGACTGCAGTCTCTAAGTTGTCTCATCGGGTACAGAATAGGACAAGTGAGGTACAACAGTTGAACTCCCAACTCTCTCTACTCTAACGCATGTACAAAGATGCGTGAGCAGAGACTTGCGCGCTGAAGGCGGAGAACAAAGAGTTGAAACGGAAGGCCACCGTCATGGCTCGATTTGGAGCACCTTCGTACTTTGGTTTTGACGGCCAATAGGGAGTCAACCCTCTCGGTGGTTCTATAAGCACTGAGGCAGGGCCGTCAAAGGACGACGACAAAAGAGGAAGAGCTCGGTGGAGGAGCCGAGTAAGTGAAGTCAGCGTGTGGCCGTCATCGGAAAAACAAGAAGATCCTTTTTGTTTCTTTTTTCTCTTTTTGTTTTTTTTTTGTTTCTTTTGTTTTATTTTTCTGGGCTTGTGTTTGTTTGTTTTTTTGTTTTTGTTTTTGTTTTTTTTTGTCTCTGTAATCGGGGATGTCATCCTCTGACTTTATAAAATCAGTTTCCTCTTTTTTTTTTTTTTTTTTTTTTTGCACATGAATGGCGTGACTAGCATATCACTTTGAGCTTGAAAACAATTTTATTTGAATTTGGAGAATGATTGAATTGTGAACTCTGAACTGGACATTGATTCCATACTAACCTGAATCAAAAAAATGACTTAACAAAAAAAAAAAAAAAACGAAACAAAACAATCCAAACAGACTTATATATTCTGACTAGTATTAACAGAACGTAAAAAAAACATGACTCTGAAACACAACCACTGAGCCTAAGCGATTCTGCAGTTTGTCCTGATGGGTTGAAATTGAAACTGATGGGCCGACCAAAAGTTGGCCGATGAATTCATGATCTAGCCAAAGAGTTGCCAACGAACTCATGACTCAAGCAGTGGCTAAGATAGAATATCTGACTCAACTATGCCCCTAATTCCTTGCCTTGATTTTTTTTTTTTTGTAAAAATGTTTTGATCAACATGAGAGTTAGATTACCATAAAGCTCGCATAAACTATGAGTCACATAATTCTATTCCTTCTAACACATGACACTACCCCTCAATTGAGGTTAAACCTCTTCCTACCGTCCCTAAGTATTCTAACCTAGAGCTCTGATACCAAATTGTGACACCCCAAATTTTTGGAACATCAAAGGAAATTAAATAAACAAAATGATTTAATAAACCAAAAATTTGACATCTTAATAGGGCATTTCAACTCTCGTACATAACCAAATGTTCAAATAATATTAAATAAAAACTTAAAATTATTCAAATACAACATCAAATGAAATTATAAAGTCCTTAATAGCTACTATATAAAATAATAAAATTTATTCGGTTCTAATCAGGATTTCAAGTTAGCCAAGGCTCTACGTTAGCGTTAACTCCATTTCAGCTTCAATTATTTCCTCGCCAAAACCTGGCATAAAATGCCAGGGCAACAAAAATACATGCCATGAGTTTTGCAACACAGTAAGAAAACATAACCAACCTATCATTCCTTTTAAGAGAAAAATAATGAGATTATAATCATGAGATAACAATATAATTGTAAACATAAATTACAACCATTAAAATAATTTCAATAATTCTAATAAATTAGGTGACACTTGAAATCTCACCAAGGAGATTTAACTTACCAACCATTAAGCATGGCAACGGTTAATTTGAAACCCCCACTTGGTCAAATATTCAAGTGTTACCAACCGTAATTACCAGGGATGCCCATGTCCGGAGTTATATACCCAATTAGTGGCATCCGTGGTTTGTCCCAAGGAAACGGTCTGCCAGGGGTACGTAACCTCCCTGTGTGCCACCTGCACATCTACCTTTATTCCAAAACCGAATACCAAAAAGGGTTCAAATAAGTCCCGTGCCATCTTAGGGTTTCGCGACACAATTTATGTGAGAATTTTCAAAACCAGGGCTCACCCTGAACAACCGGTATTAACCATCAACCCTTAATTTCGTACACTCTTTAAAACCAAGACTCACATTGAACAACTGGTATTAACTGTCAATTGTTAACTTTGTATATGCCGTTAATCATTTCAGTTAGTTTTGATATTAATCACAAATAATTCCAACGTTTAATCACAAATAACGTTATATCAACTCATTAAAATTCCGAACAAAAAATATTACACATGTCATACAATAAAAAATAATTATACAAAATTTAAATAAACAATTTATTTAAACCATGGTATGAAATAATAATTTAGATACAAAGAAAATAAACCATAAATACAAACATACATGGATTTTTAATTTACAAGATTAGACTACCACAATATTAAATAAACCACAATACACCCATACATGGATTACTAATTTACAATGTTTAATGAAGTAGACTAACACAATAATTAATTTTTTTTATCCAAATAATTAATTGAAGTAATGATCTTAAACTTGCCCATAAATTTTCAGGATGTACCCTAGGTAATAAACATTATAAATAAATTATTTATACAGTTATGAAATTCGTGAAAATATATTGAATATTCAATAAACATGTTTAGGTCATGTTTCAAGAATAATTTCCCAAAAATAAGTTATAAATAATTATGTAAAATTCCCAGAAATTTTATGATACAGATTTATCACATTTTCTTAAATTAATTCCATACTTAAATTTATAGATCAAATCCATAATATAAAAATTAATTATGAAACTAGACTTCCCAAATTTCTTCTTTTAGTTAGAAATTACCAGATTTGGATTAATATAGAATTTTTAATAAATTTTCAAACATATAGTAAAATCTTTCTTATAGTTTCAGATTTAATTAAAAATTTGTATAAATTCGTACAAAGCTCAATAATTGTTGCAAAAATTCTTAGATAAACTAGACATCATTCCCAACAACTTTGTAGAATAAATCATCTTCAAATTTTGAGTATAGAATTGTCTAAAAATTTGTAGAAAGTTTCTGACAGATTTAAGGGCCAAATAAAATCTTCAATAATCTTTTTAATGGCATAAACTACACATGCAAGTCTAAATTTCACAATATTATCATGAATTTAAGACTATCAATATCTTCAAATATTTGATATACAAATCATAAATTTACATACAACTTTAAATAAAATTCTATTTACAAGTTTAGTCATTTTATTAAA